GTGGCAGGGAGAAGGCGGAGGGCAGGGAGGAGGCCGGCTTGGGGCCGCCAGGGGCTGGGTGGGCAGACATGGAGGTGGGCCCTGCCATGCCTCTGCCCCCGGGAGTATGTCCTGCTCCCCCTCTCTTTTCTCAGCACAGACAGCCCTCCCCTGCCCCTCCCCGCCCCTCCCCACTCCCAGCCTCTGGGCCTGCTTGGGGCAGGCGCCCTTTGAACCGCTGGGGTGCCTGTCCCCTGGCCCCCCAGCTCACGCTGGCTCAGAATACTTCTGGAACCTTCAGCAGCACTGCTACCAGCTCTGCTGCTTTACTGCTTCCCCATCTGGTCTGAGCCTCCGAGGAAGCAGGACGTGCGCGGGAGCTCGGGTTCTGGCCCAGGGAGAGGACCAGGATGATTTGGAGACAGATACTGGGCTTCTGAGAAACAAGTGATGCGGGGAGGGCAAGGGAGGATCTGGATTCTGAAAGTTGCAGAGCTGGGAGGCTTGAGGGAGAGAGCTGCCACTGGAACTCCCTTTCTGGAGCAATCCAAGTCCATAGGTGGGGGCCAGCCTGAAGGCTGGAGTGCTGTCCAGCGGGGGCCCCTGACTTCTCTGCCCTCAGCGGGGAGGGCGCAGCCCTGTGACGCGCCGCTGCCTTCCTCCACCTCCACTTCCAAGGCCTGGCTCCTCTGAGCCTGGTTTACCACAGAATATTTTTAGCTGACAGTTCCTGCTCACAGCTGAGTGTTCACCCTTAAATATCTTATTAAGTTCCTTTTTATCGAACACAGGCCTGTGTCCCTTAGAAGCGGAAACACGGTGCAGCGGGTGTCCCAGGCCCCCTGGGCTGTCCCTCCCACTCCCCGTCGTCCTCCCCCGAGCCTCACAGGGGTCCCCTGGCCCAGGTGCAGGCTCTCCCTGCTGGGACTCAGCCCGGGCCCCATCACGGATGTTCATGTGTGCACCTGTTACCCCAGACACCGTGAGCCTCTGTCCCCGCAGGACCCTGTCTCCGTCCAGCTGCTACTTGGACCCCCTGCCCGCTCCCATGAGTCTGCCTCCAGGACCCAGGTCCTTCTGTGCCCTGCTTCCCTCTCTGGGCATGTGCCTCATGTCCGGCCCTTCTCCCCGCTCTTAGTATCTTATCTCCTCTGCCTCCTCTCCTTCTCCCTCCTATTCTCCCCTTTTGGAAGGAATGGAAGGGGGGGGGGAACACGGAGGCCTTCCCCATCCCTTCACTGTGTGTGTTAAAACAAAAACCCCTTGGCCCGCCTCCCCACCCTGCCCTGCTTGCATCCTGCGGTGCCCCCGGCCCCGGTCCGGTTTTCCTTGTTTGCCCGCCCCCCTTGCCCAGCAGGGGGCACACACCTCTATTAGCCGCTCACCCCGGTGCCTGGCGTGCGGTGGGCACAAATGTCTGCGGGGATGAATGAATCTGAGAGGCACGAGGGTTGGTCAGGCAGGCGGGTGGAAGGCCGGGGGGATCCGGCCCCTGCCTGCCCAGGGCCGCTCTCCGTGCTCTGCTGAGCTCTGGGCCTGCAGCTCTGGGGCTGGCCGGGAAGGTCCTGTCCTGGACCCTCTCTTGTCCCCTCCCCTGCCAGCTCTTCTCCGGGGAAGGAAGCAGTGACCGTGTGGCAGCCAGAGGAGGCAGGATGCCCCTGGCCTCGCTGGCGGAAATGAGGTGGAACTTCAGTAGCAGACGGGGTGCCCTTGTGCGAGCCCCGGCGCGCCCTGCCACATCCGCGCGCATCCCGCCCGGCCCAGGGGCCGCATCTGGACTCCTGCTCCCGGCCCAGTTCCTGACTCTGCGCGCCTCTGCCCGCAGGTGTTCCGGAGCGGAGAGGGCATGGGCATCCGCCTGGATAACGCGTCTGCCTTCCAAGGGGCTGTCATATCCCCACACTATGACTCCCTGCTCGTCAAAGTCATCGCCCACGGCAAAGACCACCCTACGGCTGCCACCAAGATGAGCAGAGCCCTTGCCGAGTTCCGAGTCCGAGGTGTAAAGGTGAGAGGCTGTCGGCCCTGCCTGCCTCCAGGCGCTCTCGGGCCTGCCCCAGGCCCGTCCCTTGGCCTCTCCGCCTCTGCTGGAGCCCCGCCCCTCAGCCGCCCTGGGAGTGGGCCTGGGCTCCTCAGTGCTGGGGGGGTGGGGGGCCTCAGCCAGAGCCAGGAGTCTTGCCCCGGGGAGCCCCACGCTCCGTCTTGCCCTTCTTAGGTGAGATCACCTGGAGTCTGTGTTCGATCCACATATTACAGGCCTCCCTTCTGGAAGTTCTGATCCCACAGGTTGAGGTGGGGGCCCTAGAGCCTATGCTTTGAACAAGCTCTCCGGGTAGTTCTGAACCCCAGGAAAACTCTGGGTGAGAGAGCACAAGCCTGTGTGGACAAGGTCACTTGGCATAAAATGAGCCCCCTGTCTGCGCTCCCTGCCCTCATCCCCTGGCCTGGCACATAATGACATCGTGTTGGGTGCCTTTGGGACCGCGGGGAAGGGAGGCTGCAGCTGGAGGCCTGAGCCGGGGCAGAGGGAGGCACGGGGCCCAGCTGCTGGGCAGGCACCTGAAATGCTCGATGGCCTCTTGGTTCCCCGTGTGCGTAGCTAGAGACGAAACCACAGCCACGTGCTGTCTTGTCCTTGAGGCCAGCACTGCCTACATACCCGTGGGCATCCCCAGAGCACATGCTGCAGGCAGCCGCCCTGCAGCACAGGAAGAGCAGGGAGGAGGGCGCTGCCCTTCATGGGTTGCGCCGCCCGGCCCTACCATGCTGGTGGCTGCTGGGCAGGCCCGTGCCTCATCCTATCCTGGGAGTGTCCAAAGGATGGAGCCCAAGGCAGGGGATGCCCTCCCTGGCCTGCCGTGCACGCTGTGCGCTGGGGCCCTGGCTGATGGCCCCTTCGTATCACTTCCTCCTGGCTGCCTCCGGGCCTGCCTGGGGTCCGGGCTCGGTCGGTGGGGTCAGGGCCTGCGGGTAGCACTGTCCTCTCGCTGGCCAGCGCGGCTCTGTGATGCGTCCTGGCAGGGGCCCTGAGGGGGTGCAGAAGCCTTTTGAAAAAGCACTTGGGAGGGAAAGAGGGAGGAAGGGAACCTGCGGGGCCGGTGCTGGGTCAGCCGTCTCCCCTCAGGCCCTTGGCCCACCTCCGAGGGGATGGTGTTCCCGGGGTGTCGGGGTCTCTGTGCTCTCCCATGGGAAGCCTCAGGGCTCCTGGCCTGGGGGCTGTTTCCTGCACACGTACAGAGATGTGTTGTGACGTCCTGTATTCAACCTGCTGCTCTCTGAGGGGCCTTGGTGTTCCCAACACGGTGTCCTAGGGGAGCTTTTGGGGCCGGGTGGCCGGCATGCACTGTGACCCTAGTGTGGAGCCTGACTGCCCCACCCTTCACCCACCTGCCCTTGTTGCTCTGTCATCCTTACCAGTGCCCCCCCCCCCCCGCTGGCTCCTGTGCTTGTGACCCCCCCGGGCCACCGGACCTTCCACCTGTCCCCCAGCCCGGCAGGCTCATGAGGACCCCCTGCCTTAGATCCCTGAGGGCGGAGAAGGGGCCACGGGGCCCACAAGGAGGAAGGTGGGAAGGCCAGCTGCGGGACACGTGTTTCTGGTTCCATGGGGCATCAGAGTCCTCCCCAGACGTGCACCCTGATGAGGCCGCTGGCTCCTGCCACATCTAGAGCTTCCCACACCTGGCACCTGGCAGCTCCTTGCTCCTTCTCGTCTCCCCTCAGCCCTGTGCCACCTCTGCCTTCTCCCCACAGCCCCTTGGAGGGTTCATCCTCTCCTGCTATTGTTGAGGACCTTGTTTCATTTATTTAAACCAGGATCTCTCTTGGGCCACATCCAGGTATGTGTTCTGCGGCTGGGAGGGCAGGCGCACGTGTGTGTCAACACTGTGCAAACCCACCAGTGTGCGAGCTTGGCCAGCACACGTGTACGCGCACACACCTATTGTGCAGTTCTCCCCGGGCTGCCCGTTAGAGCCACGGTGGGCCTCACACACACACGCCATGCGCCCCTTGGCACAGGTACGGTGGCCGCCACAGTCTGGGCACTATCATGGGCCAGTGTCTGCCCTCCGCAGTGGGGCCCAGGCACCTGCATGTTCTTAAAGCGTCGGGGGAGGGGGGTGGCTGCCAAGCGCCGTGGAGAGCCACACGTCTGCAAGCATTTGTGTCTGGAGCATCATTCCTCCCAGCTGACGCTCGGGAGCTGTGATTGTTCAGAGGCTGGCCGAGGCTCTGCCCAGGGCCAGAGGCTGGCAGGGATCTTGGGTCGAGAGGAGGCAGAGCAGGGCAGTGGCCCTGTGGATGTGGGCACCCCCCTCTTGCCCTGGTGTTTGCCCCTCCAGTGTCCAGCAAGGGTTTGACTCAGCCTTTCCAGACAAGCCCAGAGCAAAGCCATGGGGTGGGGGGGTGGGAATCCGTGGAGCAGCTGGGAGCTCAGGGCCTCTAGCACTGACGAACCTTCCAGAAGGTCTTGGGCTGATAGCGGGGCAGTGGGATTCCAAGCCTTTTCCAATCCTTCTGGGATAACATTTTACAAATCCAGAAGATGCCCTGGGAGATGGTGAATGAGGTTGTACCCAATGGAAGCCATGAGAACTTTCCTACCGAGTTAAGAGTGTTGCCAGCCAAGGTCCGTTCGCCCTGAAAGGCTGTGCCATGGTCCCCTTGCCCCCGTTGCCACTCTGTGCACCCTGGCGTCCATGCCTCCACGAGGATGTCACATCTTGTCCACATCCTGCCAGGAAGGGGTGTTCTCTGCACTTACAGACGCAGGCATAGGGCCCAGAGGGCTCAGGCACAGCCCATCCCCTTCTTGAGGGGCTGGTCTGGCTCACCTGGGACAGGAAGCACCAGCCCCAAGCACCTGGCTGTTAGATGAGGCTGAGGGCACCCCGGGCTGTTTGGGCCACCTCTGTGGGGCTGACAGCCCCAGGCCTGACCCTGTCCTGTCTGTGTGCCTCTGCTGGCCCACGTTCCCCTCCGCTCTCAGGGAGCCTAGCAGGATAAGTCAAGGCTAGCACTGAGGTGTACCCAACAATTTTATTATAAAGAAAAACAAGACTCCCGCTTGGTGGTAGCAGCCCCTGCCTCGGTGGCTGTGAGCACCTGTTGGAGGAACGCGGGTCTGGAGGCCAGAACCAGGGAAAGGGCCCCCTGTCCTGCCAGGTACAAAGGGGGCCTGAGGTACCAAGGGTAAAATCAGGAGGAGCTCCCAGGCAGTGCTGACCCACCGGGCCCCGCAGCTGCCCTCCCCATGCCCTCTGCCCCTTCCCTGGCCTGCCCCGGGCTGACTCCCTTCCCCATCACACCACACTCTCCTCCAGTTGCTCCGTGCTGCCCCCAACCCCCCGGCACCCTGCCCCGAGCAGCCCCCCATGCACAGAGTGGCTCCTCCGGGCCCAGGCCCCTCCAAGGCGCCTGGCATAGCCGTAGCACCCGCCGGCGTCTCCCAGGTCCAGGGAGCAGCTGCGTTGCGGCCGAGGTGGTGGGCTCCTCGGCGGGTGGGCCTTGGGTGTGGGGCTGGGGCCTCCATTGGTCTGGGATTGGACGTGGCTGAGCTTGAGGGGGAGGCGGCCATTCCCGGCCCCCCGGCCCCGAACCAGCAAGGCCACAGTGAAGACCAGTAAGGCAGCCACCAGCACGCCCCCCACGGCCACGGTCAGGGTCCCGCCCAGCACGTGGGCCTGCAGGGCGTGGCACAGGGGTGCAGCCGGTTGCGTGGAGAAGTGGGCACAGCCCAGCAGCCTGGTAGCTGTGAGGTCGGAAGGCCCAGCGGCGGGTGACAGGGCCAGCAGGCAGAGGTCATAGTCGGCACCAGGGACTAGGTGCTTCAGCAGGAAGTGGTGGCTGGAGGCCGGGACAATCCTGTGGGCAGGGGTGGGTGGTCAGTGCCTAGCTCCAGGCTCTGACCCCAGCCCCCACCCCTTCACTGCCCACCCCCACCCTTGCCGCATGCTCCCCAGGTCCCAGCTCGGAACACTCCCCTCCCGCAGGGCCACTTGGGCCTCGTTTGTTGACTCAAGAAGGCAGAGAAGCCAAGACAGGCATGCATGTGTGCAGCTGGGGACAGAGCACGGGGACAGACGGGCGTGTGTGTGTGTGTGTGTGTGTGTGTGTGTGTACGCACAAGCCCAGGGTAAGCCAGGGAGGCGGTGTAGAGTCACATGGCCAGAGCCAAAAAGAAGGCGTCTGCGTGGCCCAGGCTTGTACACTTCTGCACAGAGACCCCAACACCGGCTAGCCTGGACTGAGAGAGCTCCTGGGCCACTCCCCACCTCTCCCTGGGGCCTGCCCCTCCCCTCCCCCTGCAGGCAGCTCAGAAGCTGAGGAGGGGTGTGTGGAAGTGGAGTCCGGGAAGGGTGGAGAGGGGCCCAGAGGGCAGTTGGGAGCGAGGCTGGGGCTGCGGGCTGCAGAGTGCCTCCTCACCGGTAGATGAGGGTCTCGTCCTCGCTGCTGTTATACTGGATTTGGAACATCCACACGGGGTCTGCTGGCCGCCCCGGCCCCCAGCTCACCAGCCCTGAGGTTGCAGTCACCTCCGTCACCTGCACAGCTGGCTCAGACTCTAGTGTCCCCTCGCCCTCGGCAGCAGTGCGGGCCGAGGCAGCAATGTCCGAGGGCCCCGGGCGGCCCCCCTCCGCGCTCCCATTCCCGCCATGGGGCAGGGCCAGCACCCGGAGCTCCACTCGGGCTGTGGCCTCCCCGGCAGGGTTGGTGGCAATGCAGGTATAGCCCCCTGCGTCCCCAGAGCCCGTCACCCCGATCTCCAGGGTCCCGTTGGGGAAAGCCCGGGCTCGGGAGGAGTTGCCAACCAGCCGGTCATCGGGGCCAACCCAGTGCATGGTGGGCACGGGGTCGCCGAGCGCCCGGCACCGCAGTGTAGCCCGCTGGCCCTCCAGCACCCAGAGGCGCTGCGTGTGGCGTGCAATGAGGGGTGGCTCGCAGGAGAACTCGCCCTCGGGCACGGCCCAGAAGTAGCGGCCGGCCAGGCCTGGCGGGGAGGCGCACGTCTCCAGGTCGTCAGGCCGCGCCAGCCGCCGTAGCCACAGGAGCTCACAGTTGCAGTGCAGGGGGTTCCCGCTGAAGCTCAGCACCAGGGGGGCGGGCGAGGCCTCCGCATCGCGCCCCCGGGAAAAGAGCGGGTCGGGGGCCAGTGTGGCCAGGCGGTTGGAGGTGAGGTCGAGGCGGGAGAGCTGGCTGAGCTGGGCGAAGGCGCCCGGGGGCAGTGCGTCGATGAGGTTGTGGTCCAGGTTGAGGGTGTGGAGGGCGGGCATGGCGCCGATGCCAGCCCAGGGCACCTGCCGCAGGTTGTTGTAGGACAAGTCCAGGTCCTCCAGGCTGTCCAGGAAGTCGTCGAAGGCCCCAGGCGAGATGCGGCCCAGCTGGTTGCCACTGAGGATGAGGTGCTGCAGGTTGACCGGGCCCCGGAGGCTGCCGGCGCCTAGCTCAACCAGCCTGTTGCCATCCAGGTGCAGGGAGCGCAGGCTCTCCAGGTCCCCAAAAGCGCGGGCCCCGATGCGGGTGATGGCATTGCGGGACAGTGTCAGGTCCACCAGCCCTGTCATGTTTCGGAAGTCTGGCGGCCCCAAGGCCTGGATGAAGTTGTCAGCCAGCCGCAACTCCACGGTGCGCCGGTCCACGTTGGGCGGCACAAACAGCAGGCCTCGGTGGGCACAGAGGGTGCTGAGCGACTCGGACAGGTTCTGGCAGACACAGGGCAGTGGGCAGGCGGCCGCTCCACTGGCCAGCAGCAGCAGCAGGACTGGGGGGGCCATGGTGAGCGCCCTGTAGGGAAGGGCCAGAGCCCAGGCACAGGTGGGGCGGGTGTGGGTGCCCACTGTGCCCGCGACCCAGTCCC